TCCTGAACCCCTGCTAACTTCTGCTGGGGGAAGGCACCAGGGATTAGTGCAGAGTTTTATCCTCCTCAGAAGCTCTGCAGTTGGCCACAGTTGCCAACACATACATTTTTTTGTTCCATTTACCATGACATCTGTCTATATATTACAATTTCAACCACCTTGATTGCAGTTGCATTCCAAAGAGCAAACCCAGGCATGGGGGCGCCTGCTCTCCAAGCACATTTCATTTTAACCAGGCACAAAAAGATCTAAGATTTATAGTACAGGGGCTAAATACATTTCTTGTTTGCTATGGAATTGCACTTATTGCACCCAAATGTCCCCAGCCATGCCTTTCATACCCAGCATTGTCTGTCCCTCCCTACTCCTTATCTCCAGCACCCACAGGCTCTGTGTTTGTACTTTGGAGAGTGCTTGCAAACAGAACCTGAATTAATTTTTAGAACAAATTAGCTGAAATGCATTGAATATCTGTGTGGACATATTCAGAATTAAAGTAGGTCTAATTCAATTTAACTTACTCCACTTCCAAAGTGAATTAAGTAAATGTAATTGAAGCTACTTAAATTCTGATTAAGAGTCTTGACATCTGCTGCAAGTGAAGCTATGTTATCCACAGGGAGTTAATTCACCACCAGAAGTGTGGAAACACAACCAACTGCATAGCAGGAAAGCTTGAGAGAAAGGAAATCGTTAGTCCCTGAATTGCAATAATCACCACAGTGTACTTTTGCTAAATGCATATTTAATTTGGGAGGCAACATTCCTGCACGACAAAAGAGGGAAATAGACTTACCTGCTTAGAAGAACAATACTATAGATTTTTTTTTTTAATTTTTGTAACAGAATTGTAATTGTGTCAGAATCCCAGAGAAGTTGGTTAAGGAAAAAAAAGACATGAAGTTGTATCACAAGAAGTGCTACTGCAATCAAATCTGCTTTGCTAACTCACTAGTATCCATCTTCATGTGGGGCAGTAGAAAATGGCTTAGAAAATGACCTCAGTTTGTAGGATATATCACAGAAAACCCCTGTGTGCTCTGCTGGGCTTGGCTTCTCCCTGTCAATTTGCTGCTTTATGTGCTTGTTTTCACCTGATGACAGAATCACAGAACCTCAGCTGCCTTGATGCTGTACCTGTTTTAGGCCACATCTGAATTACTCTGCTGCTATTGAAAGTGAGAGAGGCCTGTGGGTGTCCTGTCTCTTTTAATCTGCTTTGTCCATAAATCAGGAGTTCTGTTATTTGGGGAAAAAAACCTTATTACACTTTCTGCAAAATTCAGTTCATCCCATGCCATTATTATTCAACTTTTTGTGTGCAGCAGCAGTTATTTACAACTGAACTTGAATCTAAAAAGCAGTTTTCCAGATTATTCTTCACTTCCCAGCTGACAAGCATAGCAAAAATAGAGTTGCTGGGGTTATTGGCCCAACTTGGGCTTAGGAAGATAAGAAGTGACTGAATAAAGAGTGCAGCTCCAGAGCAGCAAAACATTGCTTGAGACCAAAGCAAGGCAGTAGTGACCAAGTGAATAGGTACCTTCTAGACTTACACAGCCTAGCAGCTGTCCCCACACTCTCTCCGTGTTTTTCCAGATATCTGAAGTCCTTGTGGTCCAAGGCTTTTGTTCTCCAAGCCACAAGTCATGCTGGTCTACATTCAGACTGGAGGGGCACACATGATTTTAGTGAGAAATAAGAAATAAAGGTGTGACCCTTCCCATGAGAAAAGTCTAAACACCTTTTCTGGTCCAGCTTCAAACCTAATAATGAAGAACTAAAGTTCCCTTTCTGCTACAAATATATATGTATTTTTCCTAACTTTCTAAGTTCCTTCTAAAACTTTACAAGGTTTTACACTTGTTCCTTCCTGGACACTTCATCCCAACAGCTACATTGCCAGTGGAAATTTCTCCAGAATCTCTAATAGTAACACTGTACATTCTGAGAATGTGGGTTTTGACCAAGAAATTTGCCTCCTTCCCTATCATTCTGTTGGATTTCAGTCAGACAGAATTTTACTGTAGAATCAAGGTTATTTCATGGATTTTTGAAGAAATATCCAGTAGAAATCTGAAGCCTCCTGGTCTTTACACCAGCTCTCCTTGTCTACCCCACAGAAGGAGTGCCAAGAATATGCCTCTGCCTGGACACTGCTCTCCTCCACAAATCTCCCACACAGTTCCGATAATTTCCAGACTGTACTGGAACCTCCAAACATGCTAACTTGTTTTAACTACCTTTCACTTACAATTGGAATAGTTTTTGTATTTTAAAAAATACTGCTTGAAATAGAAACACAAAAAGATTTTCCTACAATGGTGGGGGGAAAAAATTAATGCACAAAACCAAAATGTTTTGTTCTGAAAATTCTCTTAACAAAGTCCATATTAACACCAAGTGAGAAGAGGGAAAAGGTGCTATAAAATATTTCTGAGAGATTTATTCCTCTAAGAAAATGTTTATTGACAAAGAAAGGGGAGAAGAAAAACCAAGCAGAAAAAAAAAAACACACAAAGAAACCCCAAAGCTCAGAAAGAAGTGGGGGAGAGTATTTGAAGGCCGTAAGTGATACAAGACCTTCCTACCTCATCTCCAGATCATTTCAGAGCAATGCTAATAATACAATTTTAATGACACCCATGTAGGAATCAGTTTTTCTACCTGGAATTTCTTGCCTGACAAAATGATCAAGGCCTCGGCCTCAGGTAATTCATAGAGGAATAATATGTGAGAAAAATATAATTTTAATGTCTTCTACCAAAAACGATGACCAGCTCTGCCCTCTATACTGGCGTTATTAGTTCACTGCTTTCAGATAATGGGGAAGTAGCTTTGCTGTGTGGTCGTAAATGAAGTAGAGTGGAGGAGTTTAGTTCAAAAGTGACAGAAAAAAGAATTCCAAGAACTCTACTGAGAAGCTTACTGGAAAAGTGGGGCTGAAGATCTAAATGCAGGAGGTGGATGATTCAGTAATGAATGGAAGGCTCATTTTGACAGCTTGGGCTGCCATCCAAGCTAATTTGTTTCCAAGCCTTCAGTTTGCCAACTGAAGTGGCTGAGGAATAATAGGCCCCCAAAAATATTTCTAAGGAAACACAATGCCCATTATCACTGAAGGAGAAAGAAACTGCACATTTCAAAGAGCAAAAAGAAATTTGAGATCTGCCAACTTTGGCCAGTTCCAAATGACACAGGAAGGAGTAGTTATAATGTACTGAAAGGAAAGAAGTAGAGTATTGTTAAATAAAATAAATTCAAAGTAGAAGTTGTCATAAAAAATAGACACAATAAATAGAAGGATGTTTCTTTCATGGATAGATGATTTTATGGCTGAGCCCATACAAGCAGCCTATGATAAAGAAAGAGGCATAGGAAAAAATAAAAAAGAAATTGGTAAAATGAAGGAATATATAATAACATGAAAAATAATGAACCAGTATCCTTATGTTTGACCCAACTGACCAGTAAGGCTACATGCCACAGCTCAGGGTGTGCTGGTTTGACTCCGCCAGCCAGGAAATGGAAAAAGCCATGTTCTGCCCATGGATCAGGCAGATGCAGAGACCAGACCTGCTGAACAGGAGCTGCTGTCCCTGCACCACAGGTCAGCCACAGCCACTCTCTGCATTCATATCCTGTTTCTTCATGTTTACCATGATGACAGCTCTCGTAGAAAACAGAAGAGAGAGATTCTGTAAATATCATCCAAAAATTGAAAGAGTTTTATAGATTAGAAGAACTAAATGATCCCCATTAGAAAAAGGAGTTAGGTTAATGTGCAGGTAAGCAGAATGTGAGATTTTCAAGTGTTGAGAAACTACTGTATGGCTACAAGAAATACCTGTATAGGTTGCATACTTTTTCAACACAGACTTTTATGAAGAGGCTAGATGTGGCTGGGTGTATATAAAAGATGGGGGACTTGTTTTGCTTTATGCAAACACATTTAAAATAATTCTACAAATAATAACATTTAAAATGTAGAATTGTAGAATTATTTCCTTATCTTTTTTTCTACCTAAGGGAAAAAAAAATCCAGTTCTCTGTTCAAAACTCTGTTCACCAAAATACTGAAATTATCTGTTAGCCTTCAGCTTAGATTTTCCTACCATTCAGATGCCAAACTCACCTTTCTCACATGCTACCCACTTGATGATACAAACAGCCTCTCTTATTGCCAGCACTGTGCACTAAAGCAAAGCAACATTTCACTGAGACACTTGCCAGCCTTTTGAACTACAGCACCTCTGTGCTGCCCCAGCAGCACATACATACAGACAGCCTCCTCAGCCTCCCAAACACCTTCCTGATTTGAAACCTTTTCTTTTTCACCTGCATTTTAAAAGAATGAAGAAAGAATGAAACTACTTTCATTTTCTTGCAGTAAGATTTCTAACTCTCAAGTGGTTTTGGATGCACATTTCATGGTTGATGGTATTGAGGACCCTTCCTAATAGATTTATACAAGTGTTCACTACCTGCATTCCCTCTGAGAAGGGAATCAAGCACTGAAGGTTATTCTTTTCTATTTCTACTACAATTGTTCTACAAAGCTATTTAATTAAATGGGCACTCAAAGCTCATGTGCTCCCTCAGGGTAGATCTAAATAGCAATGGGAAGGTGTGACTACAGCTTCAGTGGGTGCATCAGGCCCAGCTTCCACCACAGGAGTATCAGTAGACACAAAGCTACACCTGAGCAGGTTCCTCTGCAGACTGAATCACTGCACACATTGACACAGCTCTGTCACCTCTGTGGTTTTACAGAAGCTCTCTAAAAATAGCTATGGCATCATCAGGGCCAGCACTGGACTCATTAAATATTTGAAAATATAAGACATGCAGTCCCTTCCCCTTCCAACCACACAGTGAATTTCTACCTAAATTAATTCCAGAGCCTTTGTAATTGCACCTATTTCTTATCCCTAAAGCCAACGGTGTTTCCATGTGCTCATTTCCAGCAAAGATACACTTTTAATAAGTATGCACTGCACCTTGCATTCTTTTCATGTCAGTTGTTTTCATGGGTGGTCACCTTTCCTCAGCAGAGCCCAAGGACTTAATACTTTGCAAATTGATTCTTCCTCATGAGAGGGCACTGGCTGGATGCCACTGAAACAGAAATAACCACGATTTCAGAGGTAAGATTGTTTGTGTTTATTCAACAAGCTGCATCTCCACAATATTCTAATGCTGGAAATGCAAGTATTTTAAGAAATTAACCTTTCAAAAGAATTCTGACAAAGGAGGATGTTTTGCTGATAGATGAACAGTATCTTGCCACACTTAAAAAGATTAGTATTTGTGAATTTTGACATAATTACTGATTTCCTCAACAGATTTAAAGTCTAAGTTTATCTTCATGTTAATCCAATTTCATGCCTAGAACAGAGCAAGCACAACAGAATGTCTTTCGTAACCTTCTGATATCATTAATTATTGCTACATTGGGAGTTACAGCATGGAACAAACAGGTTTTTAAATGGAAATCATTTGTCTCTCAGCAGGGAGACTCAACAGTTTTATTTCCTTCAACACCAAGCTGCATTCAAGTAATCTTGTTTCATGGTGATCCTCCCTTGACAACCTGCAAGTCAATGGTGAAATCCCATCTATTTTGTTCCTGGATTGGTCAGATATGCTGCCCATAAGGGGAGGGTCTATTTCCTCTCTTAATTGTGGAGGAAGGGCTTTCTATATGTTAAGGCCACACTTTCCCAAAGCTGTGGGCATTTGGTCAGGTTTCCTGGTGATTTTCCACAAAAGGAAATCCCCTAACTCATTAAAAAAAAAAAATAGATTAATTGACCGGTTCAGTAACAAGCTGCCCCAGGACCCAATAAACTTTACAAAGGGTACATTCCAATTATGACTGGGCTCAGCATGAACCTGATAAGTAAGCCAGCAGAACCATTCTCCAGCATTAAGAATTTTTTTTCCTTTTCCTCCATTAATTTAACTCTTCATTGGCACTTGTGGATTGACTAACTTCTTATTTTCCCTTTCCCTGTGAATGTTAACCCTGCTGATGAACTCCCAGCAATGTGATGTACGAGGGTCAATGAACAAACCCCTGGTCTCCAGTCACTTTCCTGGCACTGTTGTGACCTTGTAAGAAGGGTCAGCTACAGCACTGCCTTCTCCCACACTATGCCTGGTGTTATAAAACGAATCCAGCTCCCTGACCAGGACAGGGGAGAGGGAAAGTCATTTTCTCACAGCAGAAACATCTACTGCAGAAATTGGAAGCACCTGCTAGCAGAGCACAGATACAAGCCTGGCTTCACTGTGTGAGAGAGGTGGGAGGGTACAGGGTCTTCAATCATAAGTGCAGCAGCAGGAGGAGGAGATGCAAGGCAAATATCAAATTAGGAAGATGAAAAAAGAAATGGTTACTAGCTACAAAAAAATGGTTATTTTATATTGTCATGTGTTAGCCCATCATGGCATTAGACAGCACAGACACACAAGAAAGGGCACCTAAAACTTGAGTACTCCCAACCCTTTAGTGCCCAGCCCTGTCCTAAGGCATTGTCTAGAAAAGCCTGATGTTGGAAACACTCACCTGTCAGATGAGAGTAAGCCTGGTTAGCCAGAAGGAAGAGCTCCTAATTTTAGATTTTTTGGAGGGTTCCCCACCCAAGGCACCAAGCTGTTTGTGGATACAGAAGTCCACACACATCAGCTCCACCTCCTCTCTGCCTGTGAGGACCATTGTGGAGTCTCAGTCTTGGGTACCAAAGACATCATTTGATCACTCTGGCAGTGTCTGGCTGTGATTCAAAGAATCATTAGGCACTCCTGCAGAGACAGCCTGCAAGGATCAGGTGAGAGTGCCCCATGAACTGCATTTTCTCTCCTGAGCCCTCAGGCTGCTTTGGGTGCAAGACAGCCTTTACTCACAGAGGCTTCTTTAGGAAACATTCAATGATTAGCTCACTACTCCTGTAAAGCAAACTTACACACCTGCCTGGTAACTACTGCTACTTTTAACACATAAAAATGTGCAGAAATTTGTACAGAAGACATTTAAACTGTTTGGGCCTGCATCTACTTCTGCTCAGATGTTGAATATCATTTTCATACATTTATTATGCCTAGCTTGCACTGTATTTCTTAGAAGAACACGAATAAGTGTAATTATTGTTGTCAATCAAAGTTGCTCTGAAGTCCTCAGCTTTTACTGTTTCAATAACTCATTTTAACCGGTGGCAAATGTCTCCAACAAGCACTAGAGCCTAATTTGCAGTCTGGTTCCCTTGTCATTTTCTGAGTCATCTTGGTGGAATGCCATGAGGCAAGAGATTAGTTTTAGGATTCTTTTCATCTTCTTTTTCCTTACATCTGAGGGCTGTTAAGAAGTTTGGTTTCAATAGCTCAGACATATCCAAGGCATACTACAGGTACCGAAGGTGCAATGAAATACAAAGTTTATTCTACCTCAGTTCAAAGAAAATACCTGATAAACTGTTCCAAAATCAGCCTTAGCACATGCAGGTGCGGATGTTATTGGTTTCACTGAAATTACAATGCTTACCACTGGTGCTGGATTTAACTCCTTACAAGAAAACTCCTCAGCATCACACAGAGATCAACTGTGATTGTACAGCCATTGGTGTAAATCTGGAGTAATTCTACCAATGATACACAAACCTCAAGGCAAACATCTAAGTAGCTAAGATGCCAAAAGTAAATGTGATACAATGCTGATGGAGTAATAGGTAACTGACAGTTTCCTCCTCAGATCCTTAATCAGGTGTCACTGAGAGATGCTAATATAATTAGGGATGAGATATGGATTAATAGGAAGAAAATATCATAACCTCCCTCTTACAATAAAATGGTTCATAGACTATACTTACCCACAAACTGCACCATTCTTCTGGTAGCATGACATTTGCTAAAGCAAAAGCCTGTTGATAATTCTCTGTAGTCCTATATAGCATTCAGCCATGGCTGCTCTTCAAAAGGCCATATTTATCCCCTGGGAAATATAGCTGTATTAATATGACATTTTGTCACAAATTAATCTTAAACAGGGGTAATATTTGTGACACTGAGTTGAAACTGGAACTAAAAGGCAGTTCAGGTGGTTAAAGCAGCAATATCCTGTCGCAGACTTATATTCCCTGAGACAATACTGTTATGGTGTAAGTACCAATGTACTGGGACGTACTAAGGGGGAGAAGTGTGCAAGTCTTTCTTCATTTTAACAACATACAGGATCATTGGCCTTCTACTCTTTATTACTGCTGGCAGTAATGCCACTAATCCCAAGACCCAGAGCCTGTGGTGCCAGGTGCAGTACAGAATAACAAACCTTGTGCTCAGAAAAAGCCTCCAAGAGAGATAATTAGCACCTCATCTCCCATCAGGATGGGCTGCACTGTTAGAAGCAGACAGACAATTTTTAAAATATTATTTAAAAAAAAAAAAAAAAAAAACTGATTTCTCATTAAAGCATAAGTCAAAGTGGCCTGGTCTGGTTTTTAATTGAAGTCCCATGGCACAAGTCAGTTGTGACGAAAGGGATTCTCTGTGATGTGCTCCCTTTCCTGCTGTGGAAGTTCCCAGGCTTTGTACAGTTCGTCAATGCCAGGCTAATTAGCACAATGTAATCTTGCCACTTACACCCACTTCCCAACTCATTTGCACATAGCTCCCACTACTACAGAAATCAGGGTCAATTCATACTACAGATTTCCAGAGGAGATGACCCTATTATACAAAGGATGCTGGAAACTTCTTTTTATTCTGTTCCCCCAAACTCCATGGTCACTGAAGATGGTTAGTGATTTGGTGTACCCAAAACTACCTTATGGAGACTTCAGGGCACATCTCAGCTCTTCTTCAGCAATTGCATGTCATTTGCCTTTAATGGGATCATTTTTATTAAGACTAATGTCTCCTCCCTAGCTGTTTGACTTAATTCCCTCCTCAACCTGAAGACTGCAGCCACAGGCCATCCAGAAATATTTGTGTTACACAACAGACTGTAATACCCACATTTCTGATTGTTTAATATCAGTCTTGGAGAGGTGATGTGAAGCCTGCTGACCACTAACAGTCATTAAGGCTCCTATGACACTTTTTGCAAGAGCAGAGGGTATTATTAACTCCAGGATCCTGGCCGTGCTCCAGTTTGGATAATTACATTCTAGTACACTAAATTTCCCCCTGCAGTTTCAGATGGGGAACTTCTGTTCCTCACTTCCTCCTGTAACAACCAGAGCAAAGTGTCGCTGGCACTGAAATGCCAGCGTGTCCCAGGCAGGGAACAGGACTCAGTCCATGGGCTCACATTCTGCAAAATGCTCTGGGACTTGTTAGTAAGGAGGTGCACAATGACCTAGAAAACCATAAAACCACAGCTCTGACCTTGGTGGCTCCGCAGGTTGATCATGCTCTCACATTGCTGGATTTTATTTCTGGCAATCCACATGAAATTCTGTGTAATCCACATGAAAGGCCTGGGTATCTTCCAGAGCTGCACCCAAAGTCCTCAGGATGCACCAAGAGGTTTTGCTGCTGTGTGTTTTATCAACTGCTTGAGTAATTGTAATTAAGATCTAAAAATAAGGCATGTCTATACAGCATAAGAATCACTTCATTGTACTCAGTATCCAATAGTTTTTAGGTAACAATTGGATCTTCTGTAAAGCAGTAGTAAATACAAGCAGCAATAAGTTCTGCATTAGGGAAAACCAGAAAAGATTGAACTGAGGGCAACTTTCTTACTTGAACAGGAAATGATGTGTGTTTATCCAGCTGAGGTGCTTGTTCCTTCTAGGTACTATGAAACCACAAGGAAAATGCATCTGCAGTGAGGCACCGAGGGCCCATGGGGTACCATTGCCATGGCCTAGAGAGGGAGAACAGAGAGAGACACTCTGAGAAAGGGAAACATTCCCTGTAATTTTGTTGGGAGAGGCAGCTCACAACATATTTAGTTTTAAAACTTCGTTTGATTGATTTTCATATGAAAAACATTCCTGGGAAATCTAAGTCTGGGACTCAGAAATTATGATGGCTGAAGGGACCAAATCACTGAAATATTAAAGAAACCTTGAAAATACTATTTCTGTGTTCATCTGA